TCCCACCCCTCCGGCCTGCCATCCCAGCACTCACGATGGTTTTGTAACTACATACTCCTTGCCCCTAAATTCAAAAGCTGCAAGAGTGCAACCCCAGTGTGGGCCTTGCTCCCTGTCTGCCCAAGTGCCTGACACAGTACTTGGCATGCCATAGGAGCTCAATATTTGTTGAATGAATGAATGAATGAATGAATGAGAATGAAGGAGGCCTTGCTTAGGTGGAGGAAGCAGTTGCTGTCAGGTGCAATTTCCCTTCGGCAGGAGCAGTTGGCCTCCTGTAGCCAGCAAACATCTGGCACCTACCCAGTGCCAGGCCCTGGAGGCCAAGGCTGAGGAACTGTGCCCTCCCCAGGGAGCACTTTCAGAGGGATGGGGGGATGGGGTGTGCTAAGGCTTCCTGTCTCCCCTCTCTGTGCTGCCCAGGTTGTTTTTCTAGCCAATCCCAGTGGGGGCCAGAGGTACTCAGAGGTATCTTTTCCTTGTCCCAGGAAATAGCTCCTGAGGGTCTGGGGTCGTGTGTTGGGGGGAGCTGGCCTGACCAAGGCCTGGGGATCTGAGGTTAAAGGACACATTCTTCAGATTTCCGGAGGTGGATGGAGGCAGCTGAAGGTGCCCTCTCCCCAGTATCAGCTCTGGTGGGGAGCTGGGGCATTGGGATTGCTGAGCTGCACAGAGGAGTTGATGTGACTTCCCAGAGGCCCTGAGATATCCCCCTGGCCCCCAAAGAGCCTTTGTTTGCCTGGTGCCCGGGGTGAGGTGGCCTTCCTGGGATTCACACTGTGGCCTGAGTGTGTAGATAGTTGAGAGTAGTAGAGTGGGGAAGTCTCACCCCTTCATCCTGAGCTGTCCAACTCCTGTGTGTGGTGACAGGAGGGTGGCCTGATTATCAGGGCCCAGGCAGATCCCGGAAGAAGCCTGGCTGTCTTTGATTCAGGGCCTGTCTCTGGGGCTCCTCGGGGGTGTGGCATTTCTGTCTGAGCCAGCTCCTGGGAATTGCTTTTCCTTCCTCCAGGACCCTAGGAGGGGGCCGTGTTCACCCTGGGAACAGAGCCATGGTTGGGATCTTGATTTCTGGGTAGCTGCTGAGGGCCCCTCCCCCCTCCTCTGACTCACTGTCTGACACTTTTCTTGGACTCTTTCACTATCTTTCATTCCTTTTCTGACTTGGCCTGTCCTTGTCTCTGGCTGGGTCTTTTTCTCATCTCCTGCCTCTGCCTCTCTCGGCCTCTGGATTCCCAGGTGGGACAGGAAAGCACAAGATCCAAGGACTGCTCCTTCTCCCTCCACCCAGGAGGAGTGTCAGGGAAGAGATCGGTTCTCATCACACTCTGGGTCTGCAGACCCTGCTAGGGGTTCATCACTAGAACCTGCAGCATGGCTGTAGCTTCCCTGTGTCCCTGTTTTCCTGTGTGCAGCCTTGAAGCTTATAATGCCTACACTTTAAATTCCCATTCTGTAGACATGCCTGAGGCAGAGCCAGGGTGTCTGGCTTAAATCCGCTTGCTTGATATCTATTTGTTTACTTCTGGGGAACAGGGAGCCTCCTGAGATGCCTATGTTGGCACCTGACTGCAGCCTGAACTTCCTACCCTCAGAGCCACCCCCTCCTGTGGCTTGAAGGCAGGCAGGCTGGGGGGTGAAAATGCGCCCCCCCCCCACCGAAACTAACTGTGACAGGATCAGGAGATGGCCCTGCGCAGTCACCCCCCAGAGGTCCACCTCTGCTGGTCTTTAGGTGCCTTCTCTGTGCCAGACTCTGTTCTAGGCATGAGTACAAGGATGGCCAGGCAGAGAGGCCCTCAGCCTGGTGTTGAGGGAGCGGCAGTGAGGCCGAAGCAAGACTTCGAGAGAAGGGCGGGGGTAGGGGAATCCCAGGGCCCGTGGGAGCCCAGAGAGGCATGTAGTCAGGAGTGAGGAGTGGGGGTTTCAGGGAGGCCCTCTTGGAAATGACTATTAAGGGAGAGTAGGCTGGGTTCCAGCTTGTGCAAAGGCCAGGAGGCGGGCAGGTCATGGCAATTAGGGGAACTGCAAGTTCAGCTGGAATATAGTGAAGGGGGGTTGGGGGGAGGCAGCAGCCAGGCCTGCTTCAGCCTCATGGAATTCTAGGCTTGATCCTAAGGGCCAGCTTTCCCAAGCATGGGGGTGACAGACAGAGATCTTCAGGAAGATCACTGTGGCTGCAGGGGGACGGCAAGAGCAGAGGCAGGGAACATGGACCGTAGCAGGGGGGACAGAGACATAAGGTAATAAAGTTGAAGGAGCCATACATGAAATGCATAAAGCATATGAATCGTGTGTGTACAGCTAGGTGAATTTTTAGTTTTAGACATCCATGGAACCACCACCAGCCAGATCAACACAGGACATTTTGAGAAACCCACCTGCCCAGAAGATCCCCCCATGATTGTCCCCAGTGCATATCAAACACCCTTCCCTCCTGTTCGGACTTGTATCATCACTGATTGGGGTTTCTTTTCCTTGAACTTCATTCACATGTATTCTTGTGTCTGGCTTCTTTCATTCCACATGACATCCCTGAGATTCACATGTTGTTGTATCCAGGAGCTCCTCTTTCTCACAGTGTAGAATGACATGTTCACTCAGCACGTATTACTGTTCTAAGAACTTGACATGTATTGATTCCTGTAAACATCCCAACCCTGTAAGGTTTTAAGACAAAGAATTGGAGACACCGAGAGCTTGAGGACCTTGACCAGGGTCACGCAGCCGAGTAATGGCCAAGCCAGGGTTCCAATGCAGGCAGTCTGGTTTTGGGGCCAAGGTTCTTAACACTGTGCTGATGGCCTCCCCAGTCCCCACTGTATCTCTGCCTGGCCTTGTGTGCATTAAGTGGGCTAGTGTGTACTTGCAGGGCTGGGTGCCTGGATGTGGCTGGAGGGAGAGGGAGGAAGGAGTTGAGGATGGCTGCAGGTTTCTGGCTTGAGTAACTGGGTGGGTGGCAGTGCCGTTACTAAGATAGGGGACACAGGAAGAGGAACAGATGGCACGGGGGGTGGGGAACAGACGGGGGGTTCGATTTGGGGCCTGTGGAATTTTATGTTTCTAAGGGACGGCCAGGCAGAAATACAAAGTGGGCATTCGGTTTTGGCGGGGGTGGGCCTTGGGTTTGGGTATGTGATTGCATTCAGCATCGTGTGGACAGCATCTGGAGTTTGGGATAGGCTGGGGTCTCCTAGGGGGGCTGGTAGGGCAGGGTATGTGGGTGTGGTTTGCCGGCGTGTGTTTGTGTGTGTCTCTGTGGTCTGCACGTGTGTGCATGTGTGTGTGCCTGGCTCTGGGTCATGAGTTCCCCCATCTCCTAGGAGAGCGTGCAGGTCAGCTGGGAGCTGGGTTGTTTTTGTTTGTGGTTTGGGGGAGGAAGGGGGGCTGCGGGTGCCAAGCCTGAGAAACCACCCGCTGAGAAGTCCCCGGAAGCACCTGTGCGTTCTCTTCCCCTGGCCCAGTGTGAAGGGCTAGCAAGGAGGGGAGTTTCTCTTGCTTCTCTCTTGCCTGTGGGGAGAAGTTGTGCTCAGGATGAATTTTATCCAGTAAGTCCACTGACCGCCGCACCCTCTGGGATCCAGAGACTTTGTGCTAGGCTTGGCAAAGGGGGTCAAGGGTGTTTAGAAAGGGTACCTGAGTAGAGGAGATCGCCGGCCTTCTGGTTGGTTTTTCCTGTTCTCATTTCCTGTGATGGCAGTGGGGGAGGGGCTCCCCAGCACTAGGGCCTCTGCACCGTTTCCCCTTCTTCCTGGTGACCTTCTGGGGCCCAGGCCTGAGCCCTGTAGGACACAGAGAGACAAGGTAGCTCAGCCCTTAGGACTGAGTCCTTTGGGAATTCCCAGGGATAGCGGAGGCATTTAGGGGTGGGAGCCCCCAACTCCTCTCCCCTTAGCCGAGGCCAGCCAGGCTGCGGGAGGCTCCAGTTGCACCCCGTCCAAGGGCTGAGACCCTCAGAGGGGAGAACACGGTAAGCTGTGTGTCCTGAGGCGCCCCCAAGTCACCAAGCTACAAACAGGAGACAGTGGGACATCTTGACCGGTCAGTTTCACCGAGAGAGAGAGAGAGAGAGAGAGAGAGAGAGAGTGTGTGTGTGTGTGTGTGTTTAAGAGGAAAAAAAATAATTTCCATAGGAAGTTAATTCAAACAAACAGGGTTAGATATTGGAGTAGAGGCAAGATGTAGATGCATTTTTAAGATCAAACAGGAGATTGTTAGAGACACATGAAGCACAGCTGAGCCTGGAGGCAGGGGACTTCTGTGGGGCGGGGGTTTCTGCGGGAAAGTCTGAGTGGCTCTGTCACAGGAGAGGAGGGAGGGCCTCCGGAAAGTCCTGTGTCTGGGAATTGGGGCCAGTGTGGAAGCCAGCCTGTTTCCCAGAGTGCCCTGGTCCACCTGGCCCCAGAGACGGCGAGAAGGGGAGAGAGAGAGAGAGAGTGTGTGTATGCACGCGCAGGGTGGTGTGTCTGTGGGTGTGCTGGGGGTTGGTGGTGGAGGGGGAGGAGGACCAGGAAGCAGAGCCACTGTACAGGGCTGTGCAGCCTGTGGCAGACGGCCTCACACACACAAAGGCACACAGATGCGAGCCGTGTGAATCACCCAGCCAGTGAGTCAGCCCCCAGGATTCCTGTCGGGGGAATGAGCAAGGCCCGGCTGAGGTCTCTTGGTCCATCTGTTGGTCTGGTGTATGCATGTGTGTAGGTGGGTTGTAGGAGGTAGTGAGGAAGGTTCCTGGTGGCATCCTGGGAAGGCTTTCGGGCAGAGGTGGTGGGAGTCTGCAAGTGCCAGAGCACTGAGGGTTTGGACCTCAGTGCTCTGCTTGTGGAAAGAAGCCTCCTGGAGCCGTGCCCCGCCCCCCCCGCCCCGCCGCCACATGCAGAGCCAAGGTGGGGGTGCCTGGGACATCTTGGGGGCTAAGGGGAGAGTAGGTCGTGGCTGAGCAGCCACACCTGCCCTCAGGCCTGCCACTGAGCACTTTCTCCTTTCCGTTCCAGGCTGTGTGTGAGCAGACCCCAGAGTGCCCCCTGCCCCGCCATGACTGGGCCACTGAAGAGGAAGTTTGACCAGCTGGATGAGGACTCCTCCTCGCTCTGCTCCTCCTCCTCCTCCTCATCCTCCTCGGGCCGTCCTTCTCGGTCCTGCTCTCCAAGCTCTTCAGCCTCCCCGGCCCGGGACTCCGATGAGGAGGGCCCCTGGGATCAGTTGCCCTTGCCTGACAGGGACTTCTCCGGCCCCCGGAGTTTCACCCGTGAGTCCCCCTCCCCTGGGAACCACCACACCCCTTCTTCCTTCCTGAAGATGAAATTGGGAGGCCCCTGACAAAGCTATTCTAGGCCTCTGGAGGTCGTGTCCCCACAGCTTTGGCTCCCCACCTTGGCCACTTCCCGTAATACAGTGGTCACTCGGGAAGGTCCACCGTCCCGAGGCACTTGGGCCCAGCTAACTTCACCTTCGACCTCGGGACTTCCTGCTTAGAAGTCCTGCAGGTCAGGACGGAGCTCCTGAGTGGCCCTGGGGCCCTCTGGCTCCAACTCCTCCCTTATGTTCCAGTTTCGTTTCTCCAGCTTGTACACCCTGTCCTACCAACTGAACCACTGGAGTCCCACGCCCCACACTCTGCACTGCGGGGCCTGTCAGGCCGGTCCCTCTCCTGTCAAAATGCCATTTGGCTTTGCCTGAACATAGTGGAAAGGTTTCGTCCCCAGTTATTTTTCAAGCTGGCATCATTCTGATTTCAAAATGACAAAGACAGCCCTAAAGCAGTATTCCTCGGCTGTGTTTTCCATTATTGCTGCCCCCAACCCCAAGGAGCTTTTTAGACATATTTTTCCTAATTATCCCTGCTGTGACATCTTAATACCCCGGATATGGTGTCTTTGCTTATGTACCAATATGTATATCTGTGTATTATACATAGAAAAAGAGAATGATTTTTAGCACACAGAACCTAACGGTATGTTGACTAAACTGTGCGTTTATTCTGGCAATATAAGAATGGTTTAATATTTATAAAATCCAGTCTTAAGAGTTTACCCAATGGCGATATCAAAGGAGGGAAAATAGGAGAGCCACTGTGGATGCCGAAAAACATTTGATAAAATGTCATGTTCCTTCTAGATAAGACCCTTGGTAAAATAGCAGTAAGTGAACTCTACCTTAAGTGATTAAAAATCTGTGTCTCGACCCAAAAGCTGGCATTCCAATTAATGAGGAAATACTGGAAGCCTTCCCACTACGGAACAAGAGGAGGATGCTGTCTGTCATCACTAGTAGTTAACATTGTTCAATAAGTGCTACCCAGTTCAGGTTGCAGAGAGAATAAGAATTCTGTATATTGGATTGGGACAGGCAAAATAATACATTAAGTTGAAATACATGCAGTTGCCAATATTCAGCTGTTTTAAAGTAACTACTTATGGTTCAGTTAAAAGCAATAGTATACCAATATTTGTATAGAATATACCAAATACATAGCTTACTAATCAATATACAGTCTATAACTTAGGAAGGCAATTCCAAATAACAGCCTTTCTAAGCCTGTTGCAAAATGCAAGAAAAGCTATAAAGGAAAAGATCAACATATTTTTAATTACATGGCCTTAGAAGTTATTTTGTAAAATGCCTTGAACAAAAATAAGACTAAAATAATTGCACAGATAGGTTAGACAGATGATCAGTGTCTTTAATATCATATATAAAGAGCTCCTACAAATCAATAAAAAACTATAGGAAACTGCATAAGGACCCTATAAATGGCTAATAAAGAGGGGAAAGATGTTTAATCTCACAAATGCTCTCATTTGGACTGGTAAGTGCCCATGTTGACCTAGGAGTGGCATTCAGTTTTACCATCTCTAATCCCAGCCAGGCTGGCTCCCAAACTCAGATGCGTTTCTTTTTCTGTCGGGTGGGAGGTCAGAGCGGGACGTGTGAGGAGAGGCCGTTCAGCATCATCTTCCTGGAGGTCTGCTGTCCTGTCCCTCACAGAGAACTAATGCCCTGCCCCCTTCCCTCCATGCCTTCCAGCCCTGTCCATCCTGAAGCGGGCTCCCCGGAAGCGGCCAGGCCGCGTCGCCTTCGATGGCATCACCGTCTTCTACTTTCCACGGTGCCAGGGCTTCACCAGCGTGCCCAGCCGTGGTGGCTGCACTCTGGGTATGGCCCCTCGCCACAGCGCCTGCCGCCGCTTCTCCCTGGCTGAGTTCACCCAGGAGCAAGCCCGGGCACGGCGTGAGAAGCTGCGCCTACGCTTGAAGGAGGAGAAGCTGGAGGCGCTACGGTGGAAGGTAGGGAGACCCGTCTCCATCCCCTGTGCCCTCGGCTGGCTTCAGAAGTCCAAGCCTTGAGGGGAGGGGCCTCCAGGGTGGAGGCCAGTTTGCTCATTATGTATTTGGGGAAAGAGACCCCTGGGGCCAGTATTGCTCCATCAGGGCCTGTTGCCCGGATTATCAGCAGACAGTGGGGTGTGGAAGGGCCTGTGTTTGCTGTAGGGGCTGGGGGCATGGTGCCTGAAGCTGTCTGACCTCGCCGCCGGGGTGGTGGGGAGTTGCTGTGACATTGGGGGTTGGGGTGTCAGGCTGGCTGCGGAGGGAGGCGGGGGGCTTGTCCACAAACTGGGGAAATGACAGGAACAGGAAATCTCTTTGCAAATGCCCCGAGGGCAGGGTTCTTGGCCTTCCGGTTCAGTGTGGTATCCATGGTGCCCAGCCCAGAGGAAGCATGTGGGGAACATCTGTCCAGGGACTAATGGCTGCGGGGGCCAAGACCCCTGACTGTCTCTCCCATCCCTCCTCCCTCCCATGGGTACAGCTTGCAGAGACCGGGGTACCACTCACAGTGGACACCATTGATGACGCCTCCGTGGAAGAGGACTTGGCTGTGGCCGTGGCCGGCGGCCAGTTGGAGGAGATGACCTTCCTACAGCCCTACCCGGCCCGGCGACGGCGGGCTCTGCTGCGGGCTGCCGGCGTGCGGAGGATCGATCGTGAGGAGAAGCGGGAGCTGCAGGCTCTGCGCCAGTCCCGGGAGGACTGTGGCTGTCGCTGTGATCGGGTCTGTGACCCCGAGACCTGCAGCTGCAGTCTGGCGGGCATCAAGTGCCAGGTATGGGCTGGGAAGGGGAGCCTGAGCGCCGGGGCTCCTCTGGGCTCCGCGGCATCCTCGCTCATGCTCTGCTCTCTCTGCAGATGGACCACACCGCGTTCCCCTGCGGCTGCTGCAGGGAGGGCTGCGAGAACCCCAAGGGCCGCGTGGAATTTAATCAGGCCCGCGTGCAGACCCATTTCCTCCACACGCTCACCCGCCTGCAGCTGGAGCAGGGGGCTGAGAGCCTGGGGGAGCTGGAGGCCTCGGGCCAGGGCGGCCCAGCCAGCCCCGGTGAGCAGGTCCTGGCCCCCGCTTTCCCACTGGCCAAGCCCCCCGGGAGCAGTGAGCTGGGAGACAACAGCTGTAGCAGTGACATGACTGACTCCTCCACAGCTTCGGGCACGAGCGAGGCCCCGGGCAGCACCGCCCACCCAGCCCTGCCTGGTCCTGGCTTCCAGCCCGACGTGGACGACGACAGCCTGGCCCGGGTCCTGAGTCTCAGTGACTCGGACCTGGGCGGGGAGGAGGAGGAGGAGGAGGAGGACGGGGGGGTGGGGAACCTCGACAACCTCAGCTGCTTCCACCCAGCTGACATCTTTGGGACTGGTGACCCTGGTGGCCTGGCCAGCTGGACCCATGGCCATTCCAGCTCTAGCCTCGCGTCGGGCATCCTGGACGAAAACGCCAACCTGGATGCCAGCTTCTTCCTCAACAGTGGCCTTGAAGGGCTGGGAGAAGGCAGCCTCCCCGGCACCTCGGTGCCGCCTAGCTCGGATGCTGGCCAGAGCAACTCTGTGGACCTCAGCTTGTCTTCCTGCGACTCCTTCGAGCTGCTCCAGGCCCTGCCGGACTATAGCCTCGGGCCTCACTACACCTCCCGGACGGCGTCAGACGGCCTGGACAACCTCGAGGCCCCCTCCTTCCCCTGGCCTGCCTTTTCTCCCCCGGGGGACGCTGGCGCTTGCTTCCTGGAGCCTGTCATGGGCCTGCCGGACCCCGCTGCTGAGGCCCTGGTCCCCTTCATAGACAGCCAGTTGTTTGAGGACACTGCCCCAGCGCCCCTGGTGGAGCCGGTGCCGGTGTGATGACTAGGGTACCTTTTCGCGGCCCTGAGAGCCCTGTTGCTGCTTTGTTGTAATTTGGGGGCTCCCTGAGGTCTGTATGTTAAGGGTTTCCCGTTGGCTGGCTCATCCATGCGGGCACTCCTGATTTTTGTGCAACACTCTGGATTTGATTTATTTATTTTTGTAACTTTCTGTGCTGAAGAGAGGGGGGGGACGGGGCTTTCCCTTTTGGCCCCCCGGCCCCCCCGCACCCCATCCCCCAAAGCTCACACAGTCTCTCCTTCCACTTCCATGGTGTGTGCCCAGAACAGGCGGAAATAGGGCTCCCCTGGAGCTTTGCAGACCCCTTTTCGGTCTCATATGATGTTCCTCAGCCCGAACAAGACGGGGCTGAAATCAGCCACTTCTAATGGCTTCTCCTGCCACCCTGAGCCCCAGACCCATGGGTGGCTGTGTTTTCTGGACTGTGAAGACTATAATTTATTTCCATAATTTATTCAGAGACTAGGAGGCATAGGCTTCTCCCCGCTGGCTGGTGGGCAGTGCTGGGGTTGGGGCGGGGCACAGACCCCGTGAGCCCCTTTTGCCTTGTAGTCCAACCCTGCCCTACCTGGGCTTTGGTACAAACCAGGTGTGGATTGGGGCCCTAAGGCCCTCCTGTGGCAGCTCCCTGGCTCTTGGCGGGTGGCTGAGGACAGCGTCTAGGTAGGGGGGCTGGGCCGACCGACCATGACCAAAACCTGCTTCTGCCCCACACAGCCCCCTCTGCGTCCTGTCCTCTGCCGCCTCATCTTCCTCCCCAAAGGCCACAGCCTTTATTCTGGGCCCACTAATGTCGAAGGGAAGCAGGAGAGAGGACCCAGAGAGGGCAAGGGGCTAGCCTTGGGGCCCACAGCACGCCCCTGACTACTGTCTCAGGGCTTTCTGGGCACTGCATGCCCCAGCCTGGGCCACCTGCCCATGCCCTGAGGCCAGTTGGCTGGGGTGAGGGGTGGCCCCTGTGGCTTTTATGCCCTACGTTTGCTGATGCTGAGTTTTGCATCCTAATTTCTGTATCGTCCTTGAGTGTTAGAACTATAATTTATTCATTTTTCTCTATGTCTGTGCCAAGAAGCCCAGGCTCTGGGCCTGCCTTCTTGCCCAGGAGGCCTTGCCAGCCTGCGTGCTCGTGGGAACACCTTGTACCTGAGCTTACAGGTACCAATAAAGAGGCTCTATTTTTAACAGTGTGGTCTGCATTTGTGGGACTGGGAGGTGGGGGGTATACCCTCAGGACGTAGTGAGGAGGGAGGGGGAGATGGTTCCCGCAGGGCAGTGTGGACACTGAGGCTATGTTGGGGTAGGAGTGGGGGCCACAACGCAGTGAGCCTCCTTCCATGCAGGCCTGTCACCTTGGACACAGGAAGCCAGCTGGGAGGTTGCCAGGCAGGTAGAGCAGTTTTCCCTTTTCAGGAACCCATCTTTCTCCAGTGGTCTCCTGGGGTGGTGGTGCGCAGCAGCAGGGCAGTCTTCTGAGACCTGGCTATCCGCTCGCTCGGGCTGTTTCCCACTGGTACACTGAGCTAGGTGGGGCCTGGCCCTGAGAGCGAAGGTCCCCCCCCCCCCAGTTAGGGGCAGGCAGTGGGATGTGGCCAGCAGAGGCCTTGTGTGGGGCTGAGCTGCTGAGGCCCCTGGGGACTTGAGCACCGGAAGCTGCAGGACTTCAACCATCTGCACCAGCCAGACCTGTCTGACCTGTCCCCAGCAGCTCGGCTGCAGGCCAGAGGAGCAGGTTGCACCCTGCCCTGGGGACTCCCAGACTAGGGCCTGAGGGGCAAGGTCGACCTCCCCCTTAGGAATGATTTATACAAAGGGCTGGAAGGGAGGACCAAACAAGGAGACAAGATCTGGCTCTAATTCTCTGCCTTTTCGTCTGTGCTGGGCTCTCCTTATTTCATCTCTGTGGCTTATTGGGTAAGAGCACAGACCCACAAATCCCAGCTCTTCTACTACCTGGCAAGGTGGCTTAGGTAGATCATGTCCCCTCTACTACCACTGGGTCTTGGTGTCCTCAATACTGTGCAAATAATAACACCGCTCGCCTCATAAGCTCATTCAGTTCGCATATATACAGCACTTAGGAGAGTGCCCGCGACATGCAAGCCTCGTTTGTGACTTCCATTTTGTTTTTATATTTCTGCCTCTATTTCTATGTTCTATCCTCTCTTGTTTGCAAGTTCTGTCACTCTTTGGGTATCTGTCTCTTATCTCTGGACATGGCCGCGTGGCCACATCATCAATGGCCGGGAGAGGATCCATAGCCTGGAGCCTGGCCTATGGTGGGCAGCCTGTCCCTGTAACCAAATTAGCCAGGGACAGCCAGGCCTTAGGCTTGTCAGGGTGGAGTATCCTGGTACATTTCGTTGATCTGTCTTCCCCCTGAGGGTCCCCGGGAACCCTCTTGTAGAGATTGCTTCAGCATGTGTGATTCAAAATCTGGGCCTCTCCAAGGGCTCTGAGGCCCTGCTCTGATTAGCCTGGGGGTCTGGATGGCAGCTCCTGGCCACTCCAGTTCCCTGGCTGGAAGCCCCCACAGGCTCCTAAACCATGGACATAGCCCATGGCTGGACTGAACCTGCCCACTCCCCGTCTATGGCAACAGGATCACTTCCTGGGCTTTTTTTTTTTTTTTTAAGATAAATGAAGACAATTTAGGTTTTACAGCAATAAAAATGTGATTAATGTACAATCCTTTACAGCATCATTCTCCATACAGACAAACTGTCTCTCAACGACCCGCCCCAAGAAACCAGATTGTAAAGCAGATGCTAGGAAAGGGGACTGGTTTCCCATAGGAAGGGTAGTAACCTGGGGAAAGCATTCCAGGTCATTGACTCAGACCAAGAGGCCATGCATGTGATCAGCAGGATGTTATAAAAACAAGGCTCAGCCACCACTAAGGACAATTTTGTGTGTTCTAAAAGCAACCCCTACCTGTTCGGTTCCCAAACTTTCGTCACTGGACAACTTCTCTTGAAAATTTTGCCATAGCTGCATTCTACGCATACTAAGTGTTTTGCTTTACATCAATTACATCGATATGCTTAGAAGTTAGAACCATTCTGAGTTAACAGCACTCGTGAATTCGTGAGTTCATCATGCTAGTTATTTTTCTCTGTTATGTAACAATGATATTTAAACACATAGTTATTAAACTGTAAAATGTTTGCTGTATATCACTGGCAGGGATTTGTATCATGGTTTGGGAACACGCACATCTAGTCTAATTTCCTGCCACAGAGAGGGACACTGAGGTCCAAAGAACGGATGGTCTTGGGAAGGTCACACTCCTGACTCCCAGTTCAGAGTTCCTTCCCCTAAGCCAGACTGGCCCATTACTGCCATCATGAAAAAGAAGAAGAGAGGTGTTGGGAGCTGGAGCAAAAGTGACCTCTGTCACCCTCTTGCCCGTTACAAGTAACATAATTCATCTAAATAGGGGCCACTGCTTGTGTCCCCCGAGGTGTGAAAAGGGTTTCTGGAGGATAAATTTGTTGGTCAGTGTCTTTTAGAAAATGTGAAGTGGGAACTGTATTTTCTTGGGCTGTATTTCCCTGTACCAGGCATGGGTAATCAGGTTTGTCCCAAACCAGTGAGGACCAGCAGAGACCAGCGGAGGACTTGGGGAGACAGAATGTACGGACAGAGTGAGGCAAGGGCGCTCACAAGCTGCAGGATGATGGCCTCCCTCACACAGAGCCTCAGCTCTGGGACCCCCTGAGCTGGTCCTCCTGTCTGTGCCCCAGCCGGGCAGGATGGTGTGGCCGGGAGGGCAGGGAGGAGTAGTTGCTTCTTGAGCTCTGGGGGTCTAGAGACCAGAGAGGAGAGGGGAGGCATTTATAAACTGACATAATAATATGACAATAGCAGTAGGGAACTTTTTTTTTAAACCACCTCTTTGTTCCCCTCTGCTCCCTCACAGAGTCTGGAATAAAAATGGAAGAAGGTGCCCAATGAGCCCAGCATAAGCTAGGCTGGCGGATCCCTCTCTTCCTCAGAGCAAAATTGCCTCTTGTGCCTTAAAAACACAAAGCTTTGGGATGCCCCTTAGACCCGATGAGGCATGATTCAAATAAACCACACACAATATAGAAATGGGTAAGAATATGTCATTTTCTGAATCTCTTCTCCCCTGACCCACTTCCCAACCCCTCTGTGAAACATCTGTAGCTTGATGGCTTCCACCCGCCCTGGCTCCCACTGACCACACCTAGGGCCTCAGAGACCCTTGGGCCTTTTCCAAAATTTCTTCTCTGATTTGGGGGTAGTTAGGATGCTCTCTGAGGACCTGGGACAGAGGGAGAAAGGGGGTGCAGCATCAGGCCAGGGGTGTCTGTCTCTGCCCCAGGACCAGGTCACTGCACCCAGCCCCCCACCCCCACCCCCAGTGTCTCTCAGGGGCTTACAATGGCTTACATGGTGGCAGATTTCAATGGCCTCCACAAATCTCTTGTCCTTCAAGTAGTTGAAAGCGAGTTTGAAGCCTGTCCAGGGGCACAGGGAACACAGACAGTGGCACCCTAACTACCCAAGAGCCAGGGTAGTGGTCCTCCTGCCCATCTCCCTCCTTGCCCACATGCACCATGGCTGCTTGCCTTACCAATGGCAGGGTTGGCATGATGACTGTACTGCCAGGCCAGCTCGTAGTTGGTGGCTGCGTCTCTGTAGGACTGCTCCTTCTCCATGATGAAGCCCATGTACTCATAGGCCTTGCAGCAGGACTGTAGGGAAAGCCACACCCGGTGGCAGCACAGGGCACAACCCGCGGGGGGAGGGGGAGGCAAAGGAGGGTGGTGAGCCGCATTAACTCGAACCTCCCAGGGACTCCAGCAGCATCTCCCACCTTTGCGAGGGGTCAACTGTGCGCCCCCTCTAGGCTACCCGGACGCTTGCGTGACCCCTTTCCCCACAGCCCTCCTGCTCTGACCCCCACGCCGCTCGACCCCCTGAACCCTTCCCATCTCTCTTGGCTGCCCGACCCGGTGCGCCTCCTCTTGCCTTGCCCCGCCTCCCTCCCCCCACCTGCCCCCGGGTCCCGTTCCCATCTTGCTCTAGCGTGCATATGCCCCCCTTTTCTCCGGCCTCTTCTCACCGGGTTCCAACCCGCACCTCCTCTGCCCCCGACGCCCACGCGCCCCTCGCGCCCCGCCTCCACCTGGCGTCCCCGCTTCCCCGACGGCAGCGCGCCCCCTGCCTTGTTGTATTGCACGCAGCGCCGCAGCAGCTCGGTGGCCAGGTCGAACTTGCCGCCCTGGCAGTAAAGGTCAGCCAGCAGGAGCCAGCTCTTCTCCAGGTCCTCTGCCTCGCCCAGCGCCCACGGGGCCTTGGCCAGACGCTTCAGCTGCGTGCGCGCCTTGGGGACCTGCTTCAGCAGCGCGTAGGCCTGCGCCGTGGCCAGCAGGGCGGGGACGCTGTCCTTCTGCGCACGGGGTGGGGGTGGGGGGTGGGAGCGGGCGTGGGCGCGCTGGGCCCCCAGCCTCGCCTCCCCGCCGCCCACCCCGCGCGCCGGCCCACCTG